GGGTGTTGTGGAAATTTTACTAGGATGTGTTTTTAGTGTAATATTGTCATCATGTGTCCGGATTTCTGCGTCACGCTCGATTGGAGCGTGACCCAGATGATTCGGCACTGGGAATAAACCATTGGAGTGGATATGCGTGGCGGAGCAATGTTCTCTTGGCGAGTGTGTGGATGCCAAGCTAGGGCCCCTGCGCAGTGCGCGGATTTATTGGCGTGTATACATTTGCTTTGAGAACATAGTATTATTTAAGATACATATCTGCCTTTATGAAAGGAACGTGCGTACGTATTTCTGACGCGTCTGATCAGCGCGCTGGAGGTAGTATGGCATTGTCCCTGCAGATAAGCTCCCATCAATGCGCATCATAATAACTTTATTGGGCATTGCTCACTGAGCAATGCTGGATAAAGTTTGCTCCAGTGTTAAGGGAGATTAAAGATGGTGTCGTCCATGTGCAAGCATGCTGCTTCCTTTGTGTAAGTGTTTTTGGCGGGAAATCTATTGTTAACAAATGTGCACGTGAAACATGAACTAGCAGCTGGTAACTGTGCACGTTGCTTCACATGCATGAGCATACCCTCCCCTTTTCTATTGTCTATTCAGGTGTATACATGTGTTTCATTGGCTGGCTCTGTATTCTATTGTTTTAGGAGGAAGTGGTGGCTGTTGTGGCCAGTACTTCCTGTGTTACCCCTATAAATAAAAAAGTCTTCCTCAAGTGAGGAGGACAGCGACTGAGGATCTGACGAGACAACAGCGAGTGTCTGTGTTTCCTTACTGAGCGCGTTCAGCAGGATTATACCGGGAGAGCAGAGAACTGTGCTTTTAAGCGCAGCGGATTTAAATACGAGATACATTTCTATAACAAGGGGTCTAAACTGACCTCTGACATTTTCCTTTTGAAATAGAAAAAGAGATTGAGGACACCGAGTCCTCTGCCCATGCAGCGGGAAATGCGAGGAGAAGCTGTGTTGGACGTCTGGCGCCCCTGTTGCCAATGGTGCCCTGTGCTCGCCATGGCAAAAGGGGCAAGGGTGGCACTGGATATGCCCCCTCTCAGCTGCGCCTGAGGCAAGTGACTCAATCGCCCCATGGTAGCTACAGCCCTGATACTGAGACGCTGCAGCTGAAGCGAATCCCGACAATTATGTCTGGATCCGCCCGGCTGCGTGAGTGACAGCTGGCTCTGCCTATCTAGAGGCAGAGGCAGCTGTACCCGCCCCCTCCCCCATCCGTTCCGCCAGTCAGCACTGGAGGATCGGACAGGGGAGGGGAAAATCCAGTCACTCCCCTGTCCCGGCTCTCTGCAGGGTCAGGATCGAGAAGTGAGCGAACACATGTGTTTGCTCACTTCC